TTAAGGGAGAGGGATGTTGTAGGCCCAAGTTCTTTAGCACGAAAAAGGGCCGATGGCTGGGAGCTGCTGGAGAGAGGACAGAGCAAGGTAAGGAGGCCCTTGGTGGAATGGTGCTTGTCTTCAGACCCACATGGTTTCTAGGTGAGAACCTTGAGGAGAAGAGGCACGCCTTGTCCAATTTAGTGTTTCCTGCCTTAGCTAAGTACTTCCCAGGCAGTATGAGCAAAACAGGTTGGTGGATAAATGATAAGAAGGACAGTAGCTGACATCATAGATGACATGGACCACTGGGTTCAGTGAAGGAGCCTGTGTTTTGGAGCTATTCAGACACCTGTGTTGAACTCTAGCTCTGCTACCCCTTTCTTTTTTTTTTTCTTTTTTTTTTTGAGATGGAGTCTCGCTCTGTCGCCCAGGCTGGAGTGCTGTGGCCGGATCTCAGCTCACTGCAAGCTCCGCCTCCCGGGTTTACGCCATTCTCCTGCCTCAGCCTCCCGAGTAGCTGGGACTACAGACGCCCGCCACCTCGCCTGGCTAGTTTTTTGTAGTTTTTAGTAGAGACGGGGTTTCACCGTGTTAGCCAGGATGGTCTCGATCTCCTGACCTCGTGATCCGTCCGTCTCGGCCTCCCAAATTACAGGCTTGAGCCACCGCGCCCGGCTGCTACCACTTTCTTGAGTGGCCTGCCATATGTTATTTTCTCCGCTGATATTGTGACATCTGTATTTCAAAGTGGGATACTTACTGTTGGGATTTCAAGGAGCCAGTACAAACTGGTCTTTCATTCCTGAGTTCCAAACAGACCATGAGAGTGATGGCAATTGGATCATCAGCTTTATTGCTGCAAAAGGAAGCTGGCAATGTGACTTAATTCTGTGGCCACATGGTCTTACTAATAGCCCTGCCCAAAGTCAATGGAAATGTGAAGCATGAGAATGCAACTCCCCTCAACACCTACCCACAGGGCGTTAGGATGAAATGATTTCGTTTATGGAGGTAATCGGTAAGTCTTCCTTTTCATCCCACTCTTCCAATCTGATTTTGAATATTCTGTAAATTAGTGGAAATGAGCATATTAACTAGGTTAGGTGGGTTTACAGGGCCAAATTTTTTTTTTTTTTTTTTTTTTTTTAAGTCTTCTAGGGGCCAGCTGTGGCAGCTCACGCCTATAATCCCAGTACTTTGGAAGGCCAAGGCAGGCAAATCACTTGAGGTTAGGAGTTCGAGACCAGCCTTGCCAACATGGTGAAACCCTGTCTCTACTAAAAACACAAAAATCAGCCAGGCATGGTGGCAGGTGCCTGTATTCCCAGCTCCTTGGGAAGCTGAGGCAGGAGAATTGCTTGAATCCGGGGGGTGGAAGTTGCAGTGAACCGAAATGCACCACTGCACTCTTGTCTGGGTGACAGACTGAGACTGCATCTCAAAAAAAAAAAAAAAAAAAAAAGTCTCCTACAAGATGCCTGCCATGGCCTCATAAGTTGTTCTGTCGCCTAATCAATGATTCTTTGGAGCCATCTAGGGCTTTCTTAATGCTGAGTAGAGGGACTGTTTCCAGCAAATGTTTAGGAAACCTGCTTTGTGGAGATAGTGGTTCCCTAGCAATAATACCAGCCTGAACTTTCCTGAGCTATATTTTTTGTAGTTTAATCTACTAGATTGGATTAGGCTCTGACTGAGTTCCTTACACAAGCATTAAGGACAAGAGATCTAGAGAGAGATCACACCATCTAAAAGAAGTTGTCATATATCATATAAGAATGTCAGGATGAGTAGACTTATTTTAACTACTTGGAAAAGTTTATAAGATTCCCAAAACCTTTATACCTCCACACCTCTTTGTTATTTTTATTACCAACTGTATACTGTCCTATTATGATTAGCCAGAAAGTTCTTAAAATGGAAAGGATTTATGTGCATGTTTTTAGTGACAATAAAGAAAAAAAAAGCAGTGGAGTGAATATTTCTGCCTGGTCAGTGGGGGACCTAGGAGGGGAGAGTAGGCTGTAGCATCTTGTAGGCTGCATCTCAGAAGTCTATGGAAAGAGCAAAAACAGAGCATGGGAGACAGGGGCAGGAGCCCTGTCAATAATAAGTCAATAATAGAAATTACCCTAGGTTTTCTTAGTATGCCAGAGACAAAGGAGTAGGTTTCCTGAATATAGCTAGATTGAAATTAATGCTTGTAAAAGTCAAGAAGATTTTTAAAAAGTATTTCCTAATTTATTCCTAATTTTAAAATAAAACAATTTTTCTTAGCAAGTTATCCTGACATCACAGGTATGTTACTTTGGTTAAGATTCTTAGATGAAGTGAATTGATTAACGTGAAAGTTAATTCATGAATCTTAGATATCAGCAAGTGAGTAGGATTTGGGAGTTGTTTGACAATATTTCTTATATATACTATTCATTTTTCCTAAATCATCTGACTGCCAGTATTTCATCTTGAGAGTGGCAATTTAAAAAGGAAAAACATTTTTTCCCCTGGGCTTAGACTCCACTAAAACTTGTGGGCTGAAGATTTTACCCAAATATAGACCTTTTAGTGATTAAGCTAATTTACTCTTTTCAAACTGTGACATCCTGTTTATAAGAAAGAAGACTTATAAAAAGTAATCTGAGCATGAACTAACTCTTCTAAAGTCAACATCTTGGTGAACTTATGTGTTAAATGAGTCACAAATATTTGGATGAAAATTTTTTCTGGTTTTGAAAGAGAAAGTACTTGGGAAAAAATGTCATTTTGGTTTCATTGAAATGGAAACATTTGAAAAAATGAAATTCACTGGTGAGCCTATCATGTAACAGGTTTACACACATATTTCTTAAGTCAGTTCTGTGAAGTTTTAGAGCTGTATCCTCCATGGGCCAACTCTTAACCATCACGAGATGCATTTATAATTATTCCCAGAAATGAGTTTTTAATGTTGCACAAAGTAAAATTTTTATAATATTTGAAAATAATATTATTTACTTTGTAAAATGTATTTGTAAAATTACTTTTGTCCCAAAAGAAAGCTAAACGATGCCTATTCAATTTATTTACCTGACAGAAAAATACTGTCTTTTTATTGACCCTTTATTATTTGAAAATGTCATCATGAGCAACTTACAATTTAATTTCTCTATAATAATGTTATACTCAGTATTTTATACTTGATTTTAATATATACTTGCAATTTATACTTGATTTTTAATATATACCTGCAACTTATTAGCAAAATTTAATTTCTCTACAATAATGTTATATTCAGTATTTTATACTTGATCTTTGATATACTTGCAATTTACTGGCTGAATTTTTGTGAATTGAGCAAATCTACGCTCTTTTAAGCACCTCCAGTCTCTATGCTGTTGGTCCTAAAATCCTTATCTTCTGCCCTGTTCTATTAAGTGTTAGATTTGCATTTAAGGATCTTTTTGGTTATTACCTCAAGCACTACAAACCTGTCAGTTCTCAGTTTTAATTACCTTTTTTAAAAAAGTCAATCTTTCTTCCCCTATTCAGTTACAATATTTGTGTAACCCACACTGTGGGTCTTTGGTCATCAGAGAGCTCTTCCTCTCACTTATCACAACAAGTAACTGGCCATCAGTCCTTGATGATTCGGCCTGTAAAATGACTCTTCTTGCCATCTCTGCCCTAACTCAGACACAATAATTTCTTAGCTAATTCAGAACAAAAGCTTCTCATGGGGCTTCCCTGTCAATTCGTTCTTCTCTGCCACTGGATCTTTCTGTGGAGATAGTCAAATATGAATATATAGGACTTGTCTCCCTAGAGACTTTTACTTATTCTCCATTAAGTTAAGATGAAATCTTTACAATCTGATACAGCCTACTTTTTCTAGATTTCTCTCTTCTACTTATCTGCTCTTTGGTCAAATACATGTGGAGATTTATCCATGACTAAAAGTCATTTGACTACACTATATATTTTCCACACTGTGCTATTCCAAGTTTTGATCCTCATTACTTAAGACTCACTTTCCCATTCTGACTTTCCTTCTTCCAGAAGTAAAAATCGTTTCTTCTACGTCCTCTCATAGTGCTTTTGTATTCTCTTTGCCATCATGCAATATACCCCATTAAGGTTAACTATCTATATGAGGATTTCTTGATCTAAATTATGATTTTTTCAAGAGAGGTATTTGATTTCTTATTTGTGAAAATAAAAACAGTTTCACTGTTGGGACTTAATAAATGCCCCCATATTAATGGGGTACTGAACAAAGGGTGTGTTGAAATGAACCCAGATTCTCATAGGTATAGGTGTTGTTCCAAGTGGATGGAGAAGTTCCTCAAGCATTAGAGTTAAAAAAAAAAATAAAGAGCCTTGCGAATTTTTTTTCTTGAGAGCTATGGTTTTATTTTATGACAGTCATGGGAATTTCTCAGAAAAGTCAGAGAGTGATGAAGTATTACCTGCAAATTTCTATTTGTTCTCATTCGAACCATTAAGTCATTGTCTCTGGCATTTGTTAGTGATTCATTGTACTGATGACTTTAAAATATGAACCATCGCTAGAGTTGTTCACTTGCTGTTCAGTTTGGCATTAAGTTGATTAGCTAGCATGTATTTATTGGCAATGAGGTAAATATGCTAAGTTAAATGCACACCAACAAAAGTATAATCGCTATCTTCTATTTGTTAAAATAGAGGTAGAAAAAGAAACTTAGTACACATAGAATAATTAAGTACAAGACTGAGATGGATTATATAAATGTAAATGAAACATGAAGCAAGGAAAAATCATGATGATCTGAAGAAGCAATGAAAGGTTTCATTAAGAAAAACTTAACTTGTTCTTGAAAAATAGGTAAGAATTACTTGAATGAAAATCAGAAATTCAAAATGAAGAAAATAATATAAGTCCTTTGACAAGAATACTAGATTTCTATGTTTTGCAAACCAAAATTTAGTTGGTAATTTTAGCAATACCTAGATTGTTTACTTTTAAGAATATGAAGTTATTTTGTTCTACTTTGTTTTGTCTCCAGGTGGATCCGATATTGAATATCTGGACTTCTATAAGCCTGTCGTGTGGTTCTGGATCCTTGTAGGGCTTGCTTACTTTGCTGCTGTCCTGAGCATGATTGGAGATTGGCTCCGAGTGATATCTAAAAAGACAAAAGAAGAGGTGAGAATTAAGAAGTGTGCAAAAACACTTCTATTTAGTTAATTCAATAAAGATTATTTTAAATTATGTTTACATTTACATTTAAAATATTTAAACATTTTAAAATGTTAATATTTTCTGTTTGGCATGAATTTGCTATATGAGACTATGAGCAAATATATGAGTTGTATTATTCACTTAGAAAATGTTTCTATGCCAATTGCTGTCTCAGAACTGAGGGCAATCTCTAATGAAAAAGGATGTAACTAAAAACATTTTCTTTGTTATTTCTTTTTCTTTTGTTTTCTTTCTTGTGTTCTCAAGGGCACAAAATAAATTTTATTCTGTAAAGAAAAATATAATAGGAAATATTTGTATCAAGAAATCAGGAGCATGAAATAGTGAATGTTTTAAATAATGTGGAAGGTTTTTTACCTTTAACTTATTTTATTTTTCTTATGTCTATATAAATTTGTACATACACATGTATATATATTCCAAAGCTGTATGAATTATGGCCGTTTTCCCTGTGTACAGATTTTAACAATTTTAAAAGTTGTCAATTTACTTATCTTGTACAACTATACTTATAGAAGTGAACATTAGAATTTTGACCCATGAAATTTTGGAAAATTTGAAATTTGAATATTGATTTTGAAATTCTATTGTTTGGAAATTAAATTTTGATTTCATATTTACATATCCAGGATCACTATTAGTTTGAATGTGACAGGGTAATGTTTAATTATGAAATGTGTATTTCTTGCTTCTGAGTCTTAGTCAACTTTGCTAATTGTTTCAAAAGAACAACAAATCTGTAAAACCTGTCCCTATAGTACCTATTGCCTTCCTTTAACTACCCATTCCTAGGCCACAGATATCAGTGTCAGACTCTTTGATGGCTACAAGTGTGAATTCTTTAAGCATACACCCAAAAGAAATAGAATAAGATAGAAACTGATGAAATTAACTTCCCTTTAAAAATGTTTTCTTTGAAAATTATGATGTAATTTTTTTGTTTTGTTTTGTTTTTGAGACAAAGTCTCTCTTTGTTGTCCAGGCTGGAGTGCAGTGATATGATCTAAGCTCACTGCAACCTCTGCCTCCCAGGTTCAAGTGATTCTCCCACCTCAGCCTCCTGAGTGTCTGGGACTATAGGCTCGCACTACCATGCCTAGCTATTTTTTTTTTTTTTTTTTTTTGTATTTTTAGTAAAGACAGGGTTTCATCATGTTGGCCAGGCCGGTCTAGAACTCCTGACCTTCAAGTGATCTGCCTGCCTCTGCCTCCCAAAGTGCCAGGACTGCAGGCATGAACCACCATGCCAGGCCAAGTCATATAATTTTTTATTCATATACAAGGTGCCTATGTGAACTAGCAAGAATGTAAATTATCCATACTTTACTTTGAGGATACCATATTTCCTAACTGGGAATTTACTTATTCAGTATGCATTAGTCTATATCTTAGTTGCATCATCAAATCGAAATATTTTTATTATAAACAAGTCAGTAAGACAATATGCTTGACACTATAATTTAAATTGTATGAAAAGCCTTGCTTTGAACAGGACCTATTCAATGGATTTGCCTCAACCTTAGGCTCATTGTATGTGGTGCGCATGTGTGAGTGTGGTGTTTGAGGGGGCGGATGGGGGATGGGAGAGAGAGAGAAATGTGATGGATGGTTATTCTTCATATGTACTTCATGTATATCTTGAGATGCTAAGGCAAAAAGTGGAAATTGTAGTTAGGGAATGTTTTGGATAACATAGCTAAAAAGAGAACTACTCAAACATCAAGCAATAATTTGAGTTTCAAATGGATTTGAAAACACATGCACACAAGCATGTATTTCTTAAATAAAATAGACTTGAGCAGAACCTATTTCATACAGTCAGGTAGTTAGGAAAAGTATTGTTTTGCAATACACAAATACACATATAATATTATAAATAAACCATGTATTATATACATACACACATACATACACACTTATATTTTAATGTTTTTGTGGTCCACAGTCTAAAAGTTTGAAAGCCACGAAGGCACAGATAGTACAGAGGAAAATTTTATATCTTTATTAATTGATGACATTGGTATAGAATATCTGCTTAAATGTTTAAAACTTGTATTATTAAAACACAGTGCTTTTTGTGATAGGACAAGCTGGGTCAAAGAATTAGCACACTTTTCCAGAGCAATAAGTCTGCTCTAGCTGTTAAAACAAAATATGACAGACTGGGTGGTATAACAACAGACTTTTTTTTTCCTCACAATTCTGGAAGCTAGAAGTCCAAGAAGGTGCTCGCAGGGTTGGTTTCTGGTGAGGCCTCTCTCCTAGGCTTGCAGGTGGTGCCTTTCCACTGTGTCCTCATATGGCCTTTTCTCTATGTGCATGCATGAGAGAGAGTGAGAGATCATGTGAGTATGTACACTCTGGTATATTTTTCACTTCTTAAAAGGACTCCAGTCCTATCGGATTAGGGCCCCACTTTCATGACCTCATCTAGCTTTAATTACCTTCTTTAAAACCCTGTCCCCAAATGCAGTCACACTGGAGCTTAGGGCTTCAACATATGACTTTTGGGGAGACACAAATCAGGCCATAACACCATCTTTTCAAATAAATACAAATTTCTACATAACTGATTTATTCAAAATGAAAATCAAGACTGGGTGTGGTTGCTTAAGCTTGTAATCCTAGCACTTTGGGAGACTGAGGCGGGCAGATCACCTGAGTCCAGTAGTTTAAGATCAGTCTGACCAACATGGTGAAACTTCATCTCTACTAAAAATACAAAAATTAGCTGGGCATGGGGGTGGGTGCCTGTAGTCCCAGCTACTCAGACGGGTGAGGCAGGGGAATCCTTTGAACCTGGGAGGCGAAGGTTTCAGTAAGCGGAGATGGCGCTACTGCACTCCAGCCTGGGTAACAGAGTCAGACTCCATCTCAAACAAACAAACAAACAAACAAAAAAACAGGATTGTGTGCCTACTTATGAGTGATCTTCATGACTCTCAACTGAAAGTATGAGATGTAGCACTGTGTTTTCATGCTAGTTAAACATTGCAGGGGCTTTTTGTTTTGTTTTGTTTTGTTTTGTTTGTTTTTTCTTACCACACATCTTTTGGCATCCACCTAATATTCTGGGTAGCATGTGCTGTCTGGTGATTGCATCTGCCGAAAGCTCACCTGAGTCAAGGCTACGACCAAAGCTTTACGTGAACCATCCAAAGACGCAGCTGCTCTGGACAGGGGAGCCAGTTGAAATGGAGCTTTCAATTGGAGTAGATATGTGTATTTTCTGATTTATACTGTAATTTAGGGAACTGCAAAATGGAGTCATGAATTCAACATAGAGTATGAAGAAAGACGGGGAAAGGCCCCTTATAGTTTTCAAAATATCATCATGGCCAAAGTTTTTATGAACAGAATACTGTTAAAATTTCTAAAGCAATGGAAAATGATTACTATATAATTTTAGTTTTGCACTAACTCACTAAAGGTATAAATCAATAAAAAGCCAACTAAATATAATCTAGTTGTCATCTCTGTGTAGATGAACCAATGCCAGGTGACTGCTCAATAGGTATTCCTTACTTTCCATGCCCAAGTCATTCCGGGTACTGTTAGTTTTAAAAACTCCCAAAGTGTTAAGAAACAACAAGGTTATTTCTAGTTTTCAGTTTTGATGAATAAAAACACTAAACATTTTTAGTAACTGGGAATCTTCCTCACTAAAAAATTTAACTAGTACAAAGTATAAAAAATACAAAATTAAATATAGCTTCAAATTTTCCAAGTGATAATACTTGGACACATGCTTTCCCTGAATGAAAAGATTTTGGCTAATAACCCTAGTCTTATATTATTTTTTCAAAAACAAATCTGCTTAAGCCATATTGGTTTAAGTATGAAAATATAGATCTAGTCATATATGCCCTTATTCCATTTCTGTTTTTTATGTTAAAACATATTGTTTCCAGCCAGGCGCTGTGGTTAACACCTGTAATCCCAGCATTTTGGGAGGCTGAGGTGGGCGGATCACCAGAGGTCAGGAGTTTGAGACCAGCCTGGCCAATATGGTGTAACCCTGTCTCTACTAAAAATACAAAAATTAGTTGGGCATGGGGGTGGGTGCCTGTAATCCCAGCTACTCCGGCTGAGGCAGGAGAATCACTTGGACCAGGGAAGGCGGAGGTTCCAATGAGCCGAGATCATGCCACTGCACTCCAGCCTGGGTGACAGAGCAAGACTCCATCTTCAAAAAAATAAAAATAAAATGAAAAATAAAATAAATTATGTTTCCAGTGAAGAATAGTTTTAATGAAATTATGTTTTGTTTTCCATCAACATGCTGAAATAAAACATGGTCTAGCTAATCCATCTGAAATATTTGAAGAGGAAATGATTTGTTGAAACATACTATATATTCAAAAGTGCCACATATAATTATAGTTGATCTGCATCAAGGAAAAAAATAATGAGCGCAGTAATTTTCCAGTTTTCCACGGAAACATATGCATTTCTGTAAAAGCGTTTGTCTATTTTTTTAGCTCCAGTGGAGGGTAGGCACATGTTTAACAGAAAGAATTGGTAAGTCAACTTATCTTTTTTATGAAACTGTGTACTATCTTCTGAGGAAATAATGTTTCCATTTATAAAATAAAGCTTATTTAGATATTCTGGATAATACAATAATACTGCTACCTGAGGGAGGCATAATAGAAGTAAGATGTGACCACGAAACTCAGAAGGTAAAATCTGTGCTTGCTTAGGAAGAAAGCATGGAGCAGGGCGTCGTTACTACACACAGGGATACCTCAGGTTCCTACTGTTCACATTTCTTGAGCTTGAAAGGGCCTGTGATTTCTGCATACTTCTTCTATCGATGCCCATGTGCCAGTGTTTGGGTGTTCCTGTGCACATACGAGATAAACACCACCGTGGCCCACACCATAGCATGCTAGTGTTGTCGGGCCAGGTGGCACCACAGCTGGCCACAGTGAATTGATAGC